AATTTCTTACAGTTCTGGGCAAAGCAGTTGCCATACCAGGCTGTCATGCACCTGGACAGTATGCTTTCTATGGTGCATTTGTAGAAGTTGGTAAGGGTCCTTATGGACATGCCAAATTGCCTGAGCCGCCTGCGGAAGAAGAGGCGTTGTTGTGCCTTCTTGACCATGGCATCTAGGTGGGAAATCCAGGACAGATTGTTGGTTATAAACACTCCTAGGAACCTGATGCTTTCAACCCTCTCAACTTTTGCTCCAGTGATGTAGATGAGGCCATGTTCTCCTTTCTTTCTGAAGTTAATGATCAGTTCTTCAGTTTTGCCGATACTGAGAGAGATGGTGTTATCAGTGCAACATTTCTCCACATCCATGCAGTCGGGGCTGAGCAGTGGATATCTGCAATGGTCCCTCTGGAAAATTAGAGTTAGATGTTTATTGTGGACTATACAGTACTTAAAATCATAGAACTGTTATGGTGCAGAAGAAATCATTAATTCAGCCCATTGTGGATGCACCAATTCTATTCCCTTATGCCAATGCCTGTTCCCCATATCCTTACACGCAATGACTATCCAAATAAATATCCAATGCCCTCTGAAATGCTTTAATTGAATTTGCTTCCACCATATGTTCAGGCAGTGTATTCCATACCTTAACTACGTACTGTGTGAAAAATGTTTTTTGTATATTACCTTTGCTTTGTATGCACATCACTTTAAATCTATGCTCTCTCATTTTTTTTCTTTTTGATGAGCTGGAACATCTTCCCGCTTTGTCCAACCTACTCATGATTTTGAAAACGTCTATCAAATTTCATCTCCGCCTTCTTCTGTCCAAAGAGAACAGTCATAACTTCTTCAATCTATCTGTACAGCTGAAACCATTCTTGTAAATCGCTTCTGCAATCTCCAATAGATTTGCATCTTTGTGGCACCCACAACTGTACACCGTACTCCACTCAGGTGTCTTGTGAAGCCTGTGTTTGTCCCAGTTCAATTTCAACACTTTGCTCTTGTATGCTATGCCCCTACTTGTATGCTATTCCCCTAACAACAAAGCTGAGAACACTGTATGCCATCCCACCACCTTCAATGATCTGTGCACACATATCTGCTCCTGCACTTTCTGATCAAAATGCATCACCTCACAGTTCTCTTCATTGAACTTCATCTGCTGCCTATCTTGCTCACTCCACCAAACTTGTCAATGTTCTTTTGGAGTTCTGTGCTCTTCTGTTCATCATTAACAATTCTTCAGATGTTAGTATCATCTGCAAACTTTGAAATTGTCCCCTGTACAGAAAGATCTAAATCATTGATATACGTCAGGAAAAACAGAGTCCCAATATCCCTGGGAAACTCCACTACAAACCTCTCTCCAGCCTGAAAATTATCCATTGATTATTATCTCTGTGGGTTTAATGATTTCACAGGACTAATATGAAGAGGAATGGACGACTTGTTATTTCAAAGGTCTGCTCCTCACACTGTGTACTCAGCCGCACACTCCTGATCTTTGATCACCTGGTGCAGAGAAGGGTGGTTAAGTCACAGAACTTTCCCATGGGTCTAGTCTTGGGCTTGGCCAAGCTGGCCATTGACAGGTGCAGGTAGCAGGCCATGGAGAGGATTATTATATCTGTTTGTTTTTCACAGATGCATGGCACACAAGTGTCCATTGAGAATACAGCATGTGTTATTCGCTATTATGCTTTAGGCTTTCTGTGACCAGTAACACTGCAGTGGCTTCAGTATATCATTAGCTTCAGAATCACATTTTAACTTTATCTTTTATATGTCCGTTGAAGATTTAATTTCAGCTACAACGCCTCTTTAAGGGGTTGTCTCTTTTCAAGTAGTAATAATATTTAAAATAAATTTTTTATCATATGCCATAATCCGTTTTAACTGTAAGATTTAAAAGTGTAGATATTTATTTATGTGAAGTAGTGTTTGCAAATGCATGCAAACCAAAGTATTGAAGTGTAATTCAGATAGAATTACTCTAAAGTTCACCTTCTTTGTTTTGGATTACATGAGAGTATGCTCAGAATTGACATTGACAGGTTTTCAAACATCAGCTGTGGAAGCAAACAAGGAAAATTATAATATTCCTAACAGATTCATAAATTAACTTATTTGCTTGTAGAACATTAATTATATTGTGATTTTGCCTCCAGTTTTATATTTGTAATTACATTTTAAATCTCTACTAATTGATCTCACAGAATTAATACAAATTATTCAAATTAGTCTATTTGCATTTGACGCTTGATTTATTCACATAACCAGAGATAAACTACATTCAGGAGCTTTTCTCGTATTTAACGAGGACACTTTTCTGCAAATGATATTTGTTGATGAAATGCGCATGAATCATTTAGTTTTTACATGTGGATATTAACATGGAAATTGTTTAAACAGATGTTCTAGAAAGATTTAAAATCAATTCTGGGCTTTTATTTGCACTATGAAAATGTGTGCATGACTTGTTTGACTCTTGCTGCACAAGCACCAAATAAAAATCATCTCCTACTTTATTGCTTTCTATTGAGTTTAAATATGGATCCATATTTTCTCCCTCTGCTTTATTAATATATTCAAATAGATTACAGTATTTTAATGCATTATGTCTAACATGAAATTTAAAGTTAGACCATTAATGTTTGATTGGTAACAATAGTTTTGTTGAGCATGAATTTTTTTCTTTGTCATTGAAATTATTGACACAACGCTGCAGATGTTCATTGACAACAGAATAAAAGTTTATTACACAGAAGAGAGAAACAACATAAACCAAGCAATACAGACTTGGAATATGAGAAAACACCTCTGCAAAGCTAACTAGTTCCATTCAACTGAAACATTGTTATCCTTCTGGGAGCAAAAGTCTTCGTTTCTGAATTGAACTGATGGGAATGGAAGATTAAGGTGACATTGTTGAAGATTAAGAAGCATTTTCCCAACAGAAGCAAAGAAGGTCTGGTCCAAACTATTTGTAAAGTTAGCAAGATGCTTTGAAGATTTTAAGATAACATCACTCCTGCACCAGAAAAAAAAACCGTTGTGTAATGCCTTTCCACCCTCGGGCAACTGTCTGTATGGAGTTTGTACATTTTCCCCATGTCTGTGTGGATTTTGCCAGATGTTCCAGTTTCCTCCCACAGTCCAAAGATGTGCAGGCTAGGTGGATTGGCCATGCTAAATTGCCCATTGTGTCAGGTGTGTAAGTTAGGTGGATTAGCCATAGGAAATGCAGTATTACAGGGAAGGGGTATGGGGATGGGTCTGGGTGGGATGGTCTTCGGAGGAGTGGTGTGGACTAGTTGGGCTGATTGGCCTGTTTCCACACTGTAGGAATTCTATGATTTATGACTTTAGGACCTTGTTTCAACTTTGCTGTTGTGAGGGACCTGCCTATCACAGGGCACCGGTAGCAGTGTCTGTGCAGAGTTAAGAAACGAGGAGCAAACACATGTAATACTAGGCAGAAGCTTGAAGTCTATCTATGTGACTGTTAGAGGAACAATTAAACTACAAGCATTAGGTGGAAAAGTAAATTGAACAGTCTTTCAATAATGTAACAGTAAAATTAAACCATAGTATATATATTAAAATATTTTTATTCATTCATGAGATGTGGGCATCGCTGGCTGGGACATTTATTGCCTATGCCTAGTTGCCCTGGAAAAGGTGGCGGTAAGCTGCCTTCTTGGACTGTTGCAGTCTACGTGCTGCAGATTGCCCCATAATGCCCTTAGGGACGGAATTCTAGGATTTTGATGCCATGACACTGAAAGTGTGGTGATACTTTTCCAAGTCAGAATGGTGAGAGACTTCAAGGTGGTGGTGTTCCCATGTATCTGACACCCTTGTCCTTCTAGATTGTAATGCTTAATAAAAACCAAAAGAACTGCGGATGCTGTAAATCAGGAACAAAAACAAAGTTGCTGGAAAAACTCAGCAGGTCTGGCAGCATCTGTGAAGGAGAAAACAGAGTTAACATTTCGGGTCCGGTGACCCTTCCTCATTGATTGTAGTACTTGTTGTGTTGAAGGTGCTTTGGTGAATTTTTGCAGTGCATCTTGTAAATGGTACACTGTTGCTACTAAGTGTCAGTGTTAGAGGGAGTGAATGTTTTAGATGTGATGTCAGTCAAGCAGGCTGCTTTATCCTGGATGGTGTCAAGGTTCTTGAGTTCTGGGAGCTGCACTAATCCAGGCAGTGATGGATTTTCCATCACAGACCTGATTTATGCCTTGTAAATGATGGACAGGCTTCGAGCAGTCAGGAGGTGAGTTGCTGGCTGCAGGAGTCCTGACCTCTTACCTACTCTTGTAACCACAATATTAATAAGGCTCAGAATCAGTTCAGTTTCTGGTCAATGGCTGCCTCCAGGATTTAAAAAGTTACAGATTCAGCAATAATAATAGCGTTGAATGTACAGGACTGTGATTAGATTCTCTCCTGTCATATATCCCTGAATAACATGTATTGTTGGATTTAGATTTAATAAGTGATAAAATGTGCCTTCTTCTCAACCAGTCTGTCTTCAACACAAACTCGAAGATACGGGCCTTAAACAAAAGGACAAAAGAGAGACCACATTCATCCTTTATGTAAAGTTATCAATAGAAATTAGAAAGGAAAAAATTCTTGAGGGGTCAAAATGAAAATTAATAAAGTGATGGCCAAAGTCGCAGGAAAAAGACCGGCAACACCTTAGCAGGTTAGGCAGTATCCGTGGAGAGACATGGAATTAATATTCAGGTGGAGTTTCCATTTGGGGTGCAGTCGGCAATCTGATTGCAATCTGTTTGCAGAAGGTGTCCTGCTAATATTAACCAGTGCTGTGCAGAATGAGCCAGCGCGCCACCTTGAGCATTGATTGACAGGTTGCCCGCTGCCAGGGCAGGTAGACACCTGGCGCGCTCCCGATCACTGCTTTTCGCTTCCGCGCGCATGACGTGTCGATGTGCGGTGCGGGGCGCTTTCCGCCTGTGACGATAGTTCCGGCTGGAGCGTGAGCCTGGACCACGAGATCGCCTTGGTAACGAGAGGAGGCGGCGGCGCGAGCTGGAGGAGGTGAGGAGAGAGAGAGAAGGGGTTCACTCTATGTCCCCCCACCCACCCCCCCCCCCCCACCACCCTCACCACTTGTCCTCATCGCCCTGCCTTCACCATCCAGGGTGGTCAAGCTGTGAAATTCACCGCCACAGCAGGCTGTCCCGGCCAGCTCACCTTTCTTTTTGAAAGTGTCCACATGAGTTATGCACTCCCTTATATTAGTGCATATGGCATTAGTAAGACCGCCCCTGGAGTATTGTACACAACGTTGGTGCTTAGGAAGGGTCACCAGACCCGAAACGTTAGCTCTTTTTTTTCCTTCACAGATGCTGTCAGGCCTGCTGAGCTTTTCCAGCAACTTCTGTTTTTGTTCCTGATTTACAGCATCCGCAGTTCTTTCGGTTTTGGCTCTCTAACTTGAGGAAGGATGTAGTTGTATTGGAGACAGTTCAGAGAAGGTTCACAAGATTGATTCCTGAGACGAAGGTTTTGTCTTATGAAGATTGGTTGAGCAGTTTAAACCTATGAGGATCTAACTGAGGTATGAGATTCTAAAGGGGATTGGCAAATTACATGTAGAAAGGATGTTTCCTTATGTGGGATAGTCTAGAATGAGAGGTCACAGTTTCTGAACATGTGGCAGCAGGTTTAAAACAGATGAAGAGAAATTACTTCTCTCAAAAGGTCATGAATCTCTTGAATTCAAAACCCTAGAGTGCGGTGGATGCAGAGATAGTGAGTAAGACAGACAGATTTTTTAAATTTGTCATGAGTTGAAGGTTTAATGGTAGAGGCAAGAAAGTGCAGATGTGATCATTTGCGATAGTACTAAATGGTGGATCAGGTCCAAGGGGCTGAATTGCTTACACCTGTCCTCAAGTTCTCATGTTCTTATGTACTGGAAATTTACAACTTTCTTCTTGAAAGGTCTGTCTTTGGCTAAAGCTAGTTATTACTTGGCTAAAGCTAGTTATGTACTGATTCCATTTCCTCTTGAGCTGTTCCACACAGTTGCTTTGCTGTGACTTCTTAACTCATTTTAATCTTTGGAATAGGACTTGTTTCTTCATCTTTACGCCTGAAGATCTTGTCTATCCAAACTAAACTGGAAAGATTATCAATAACTTTATTTCAGCTTGTCTGCTTTACTCAATGCCACGTAGAATTATGTTTTTCTGTTTTCAAATTCTTTGTTTCAACCCTACTTCCCTTTCCTGTAGTTATCTACTTTAAGGTGTTATTTTTACTGTCCTTCTCTGTTTGTGGTATTCATAGCTGGCTATGTTTTTGAAAAGTAATAAAACTTATTTTTTTCCTGTAGATTAAATGTATAGTTAGTTATTCTCTAGTTGAAAATGTGTTTGTTTAGGTAATGCTTGGGAGCAGAAGTGAAAATAAATTTGTTTTTCTTTATTCCAGGCCATAATTCCATTTACAGTTAACAAATTTGCAAAAATAAAAAGACAGCTATAATCTCCCTTCAAAAAAATGGAAAATCAAGAGATGTCTAATACGGAAGCTGCACCTGTTGTAATGAAGAAATTTCGAAGATGTAACTGATGATTACGATTGCAATTACAATACAACTGAGGATTGTTTTAAAAAAGTTCAATAATTATGACTTCATCTAAGACAAAACAATGAGAAAAATATTGTGCAGGTCCTTTGAAGTTCTAGCTTTCTGAAAGCAGATAACTACCATTCTTAATAAACCTTTTTAGAAATGGAGAAACGGTAAGATGATTTGTTATATCGCCTTTGATCAGGAAGAATTGGGTTGTCTTCTGATAAACTGTGGGAACCATATATGCTGTAATAATATGCCCAAGTACAAAAACAAGGCCTAATGTCATTGGACTGAGATTTTCAGAGCGATGCTACATTTCTGTTAGTTTATAGTTCAAATTTCTTCCTTGTACACTACTCGTCGATATAATCAGTATCTTTTAGAGTATGTCATCATGGCTAGATTTCGCAGAAAAATGTGGATCACATTGCTGCTTTTTCTTTTATTTATTTTTGGTGTCATGATGGGCTTGAAGACCCTAAGACCTGAAGGAGCTGGCTTTGGAGATGGCATAGGACTGGAATTATTGCCACAACTTCGTCATCGAGCTGCTGTTGGTGAACATAGAGCAGATCTCTCCAATATTGAAAAGTCATCAGAAAGTAGAACTGCTCTTCCTGATGCAAAAATGAACGAACATTTTGGTATGATGAAAAGAGCACCCATATCTGATGCAAATCTTGACCATTTTCCTCCAGTGAATTATGATTTGCATGCATTTTATTATTCATGGTATGGAAACCAGCAGTTTGATGATAAATACATACACTGGAATCACCCATTAGTTCCCCACTGGGACCCTAAAATAGCAAGCAGTTATCCTAAAGGAAGGCATATTCCTCCAGAAGACATTGGTGCCAGCTTCTATCCTGAACTAGGAGCTTACAGTTCCAGGGATCCTGCAGTTATTAACGCGCACATGAGACAACTCCGGTCAGCTGCAATAGGTAACATTATTATTTCATTGAAATTAACTTTGTTGAGTATAACGTCATATTTCTTCCCCTTTCCCTCCTTATCCGCCTCTCCCGCTACAATAAATATATTTGAATAAATACATTTCTATATGTAAACAGTAGATTAAAGAAAGATCTATTAATCTCAGCAATGCAATCATAAATAATTGGAGAATACTGATCTAAAACATTATTAAAATAATCTGATGGGCCAGCTTCTGAAAACCAAACAATTGCACGAGTGGAAAGTACTGTAATTGGAAAAACTACCAAAATTTATTCTGTTTTACATAAAAATTGATCCATTGAATTTAACACCCCCAACACTGGAAGGTCTGATATTTATCAAATTTTGATGAAAGGTTATCAACCTAAAATATTTATTCTGTTTCTGTCTCCCCAAGTGTTGCCTAACCTGCTGAGTGTTACAATATTTTCTGCCTTTTTTAGATTTTCTGTATCTGCACTTTTCTACTTTTTGATTTTTTATTATTCTCTTGTGAAATGCCTTGGGCTGTTGCATTACAGTGAGCCCGTAAACTCCAAACAAAGAGTTCTCATTTAATAAAAGAAGAGGAATGATCAATATTAAAAACAAATTTTGACAATGCTGACAGATACCAAGTGACCTTTCTTCATGTGTGCACCTGAATGGTAGCACTTCAATATCTATGCAAGTGTAATTTTTTAATGAGTCACTGGATAGTGATAGCAGATAGGAACCCTCCATCTACTTTTCCTCCTAACCCAGGAGCAATGAGACTTTGATCAGCATGCTCAATACAGATTGAAAATTAAACCTGAGACTGTTTGGCTTGAATGAATTTTTTTAAACACAAATTCTTCCATTTCCCTTTCCCACTTCTAATGTTCTTCTTAATCCATGAGTACTCAGCTGACTGTAGTATGCTAATTTTTGCCATGGCTTAGGTCATTTAATATACAGAACAATGATTAAATCTGGGATCTTTCTGGTTTGTATGGCTTGGCTACTTTTTTGGACAAACTTAGTACAGCCCCCAGGATCATTATTTAGCTTGTATGGCTTGTGGAAACATGAGAACGTAATAATTCATTTCACTGAGCAGTGAATCATGAACTACCTGTGAACAAATTTGTTTTCATGAGTTGGTCAAGTCTGTAGCAGTTCATTCCTCAGTGTTGTTTTTAAGACCAATCTGCTGATGATAACGGTTAATTAAAATGTTTTGTTCAGGAAAAATGTAAACTACTCTGAATTAATCCATGAAAATAAAAGCAATGCAAGAAAACCTGCATGTCAAGAAGTGAGGTTGAGAGAAAACAGGGAATTACAGACCAGTGAGTCCTTCATCACTAATAGGGAAGCTACTGGAGAAAGTTCTGAAGGGGAGAACTCATTTCCACTTGGTGAGGCAGGATTTGATCAGGGAGAGTCAGCATGGCTTTGTCAGAAGGAGGTCATGCCTCACATTGATTGAAGTTTTGAAGGAGGTGACTAAGTGTGTAGATGAGGGTAGTGAAGCAGATGTAGTTGAAATGGATTACCACAAAACTTTTGACAAGATTCCACATAGGAGACTAATACAGAAGGTAGAAGCACATATGATCCGGGGTAACTTGGCAAGTTGGATCTACAGTTGGCTTAGTGATAGAAGACAGAGGGTGCTGGTGGAAGGCTGTTTGTTTGATTGGCGGCTGGTATCCAGTGGCTTACCACAGGAATCTGAGCTGTTTGCTTTGTTTATGTATATATCACAAACAATAATATGGAACAGAATTAGGAGCAGGGAGAAATGAGGTGATAAGTTGGTGGATGTCACAAAGCTTGGCCAAGTGATTGACAGAGAGGAAGAAGGTCTTGGGTCACAAGAGGACATAGAAGATTGGCTAGATGGGCAGATTGTTGACAAATGGAATTTAACCTTGAAAGTGTGGGAAGAAGTTACAAGATGAGGGAGTATTCAGTGAATGGCAGGACACTGAGAAGCTCAGAGGAATGTTAGGGACTTGTTTACGAATCTCTGAAGCAGGACGTGTTAATAGGATAGTTACGGCAAATAAAATCAGTTGTGCAGTAGATTATAAGAGTAGGGAGGTTATGTTGGAGCTGTACATAACTTTGATTAGGCCACAGCTGAAGTACTGTTTGCAGTCCTGGTTACTGCACTGTCGGAAAAATATATTCTCACTGGAAGGGGTCCAGAGGAAGTTAACAGGATATTGTCTAGGATGGAGTATTTTAACTATGAAGAGAGACTGGGAAGTTAGGATTGTTTTCTTCAGAGCAGAGAAGGCTGAGAAGGAACTTGATTGAGGTGTACAGACGGCTTCAGATTTGTAACCGTTCGTTCTTAGAGTGCGATCCCATATCGGGAGCATTAATATTAATTTTGAAGATCCAACAATTGAACATTTCATTGTATGTACAAAAAGTCCCATTTCTGAAGAAGAGTCCCGACCCGAAACGTCAACTTTCCTGCTGCTCTGACCCTGCCTGCCCTGCTGTGTTCCTCCAGCTCCACACTCTGTTGTCTCTATTTTATATAGTCCAGTTTGTGTTCCCACTTGCATAAAAATCAATTTGAGTGTTCTCAGGAACGGAACCTGTTAACAAGCTAGGGACTGCCTGTTTCCCTTTGTTCAACAGTCATAATAAAAAGGTGAAAGGCAGGGGGTAGAGGGGATTTGAGGAAAACCTTTTCACCCAAAGGGTGGTTGAAATCTGGAATGCTGACCTGGGAGGATAGTTGAGGCAGAAAACTCTCAAGCTTTAAAAATTACTGGATGAGTACTCAATGTCATAATATTCAAGGCTGTGGGCCAAGTACTGGAATGTGGAAATAGTGTAGATTTAGAGTAGTTTTGTTATCCATCAACAATGCAAAAAGGGCCTCTTCTGTACTGCATGTTTCTCTGATAGAAGATATAAATTTGAATCACGGAATTTTTAATTCCATGTATGCTATCGGCCTCAGTTGATGGACTGTTTCAAATGTGATGGTTGCTTTAATATCTAGATTTATGAAATTGTTCAATGCTGATGACAGCCTTGAAGGAGGGAGACTGATAAAATTCCCAATTAAGAGTCTCTCTTTTTCTCATTTATGATCAAACTGAAAACTTCAAGACTTTGTAAAGGAGACCTAATTTGAAATTGTTATTTTTATTTTTAAAGAAACAGATCCAATGCAGAAGATTCAGAGCAAGGTAACCAAGTTCCATAGTGAACTTGGCGGGCTGAGCTCCCTTTTGTTAGAGAAAAGGTGGTTGTGCGAACAGATTTCAGATTCTGATATTTTAAATGATAAGACATAGGTAATATAAAGACCGGAAAGTGCTTGATTACACTTAATGGAATAAATTAAATGTGCATCTATCAAATCTAGTGGATTGAGCCATGTATTGTATTATTTATTATATGCTAACATCATGGAATGTGTTTGACAATACCCCATAATATAAGGGCTATACTGTTAAAACATGTCTATTCACTGTAACTGCAGGTGTGTTAGCTTTGTCCTGGTATCCACCTGGTTTGTCTGACGAGAATGGTGAACCCGCAGAAGATCTAGTACCAGTCATTTTGGAAGCTGCAAATAAATATCAATTAAAGGTATTTTAAATTTTTTTTTCAAGTGACGTTTCTAACAGGAATAAACTACTTTTACTGAACTTTCTGGATCCATAGTCCTACAAAGGTAACAATAAGCTGAAGTGAAGGTACACGATGATGTAACCTAATGTTCGGTTGGCCAATGCTGATCTATAAAAGCTGGAGACACACTTGCAGATAGCGGTGTAAGTGAGATTGTACCATTTATATTCACATCAGTTGCATTTATGATCTCATACCATTGTTACTCAAGACAAAAGCTGCAGTCCAAACAGCTGCTGCCAACTTTGTGTGAGGTTTTTTGTTTAGTTACTAATAAAGGGCTACAGACGTGAAAAAAACAATTGTGGAAAATTCAGTTGAAAGCTACACAAGTTGTTCTTCCCTTGAGTTGAATGCTGAGTGGTGTATCAATGCAAAATTTGTGTTTTCGAGAGCAGTAGTCCCAATGGATTCCTTGATTGATCCTGTCATTTAGTTGTATTTCTACTCATTGATAACAGTTTGTGTCTTGACTTATTCTGCTTCAGCTTATTATATTTGAGAGAAAGGAAGCTTTGTCTTGAATCTCTGTATGGTGGTGTTGCACTGCATATCTTTGTGTATGTGTGCTTGTTGCTACATCTGGTCGTGGTGTTCACAATAAACACAGCCTTTACCCTATGTAAGATATTCGTGGGTAACACGATCATAACAAATTTAAGTAGTTTCCAAGCAATCAAACTTTTCTGTAATAAAATAGCGGTTTCCAATTTTCTTTCGAGTTAAAACGATTAAAATTCAGCAAAAACTTGCATTTGTCTTTGTTGATTAATATGATCAGTAAGCAGTTTAGAGGCATGAAGAAAATAGTTGCGGAAGGAAAAGGATTAGGAAAAAATGGTTTCTTGGACACTGAAGATGATTGTGAGTGCGAAAGAGAAACTTCTGCGTGTTGACTTTGGATATTTAACTGTGGACCCCAGCGAGTGCAATTCCTTGGAGTAATTCAATGGACAAGGGTTATTGGGGTAGGTAGCTAGGTAACTTTTTTTAAAATGTAGTTGAAAAGGTGAGGAAGGCTAAAGCGTCGTGGCAATAAATACGTTGTGACTTTGGTTGCTGTTGAAAGGATATGGGGTTGTAGGTGGGTGGGGATTATGTAAAAAATCAGATTAGAGAGATCCAAACAGGAGACTAGGAAAGATTGAGCCACAGAACTGGGAGTATTTTAGTTAAAGGACATGAGGATAAAAGGGGACATTGTATTGGTAATTATTTAGAATACTGCATTTTTCTTTGAAGTTCTCTATTTGCTGCTCTTTGCCCATGGATTTGCACATTTAATTTTTAAATATATATTCACTTCCTTTTAGAAAGTTACTATTGAATCTGTTTTTACTCTAATTATAATAACTAGCTGTAGTAAAATCAGGAAATAATCTCATTCCAAATCCTGATAGTCTATTTATACCAGTTAAATGTGGTTAATTTGGTTCATAAGGGTGGATTTAATTTCATTTTAATCCAAACTAGCCCAGCAGAAAGCAGTGATAAAAATTAAGCTAAGTTTCCTCTTTTTACATTGAAAGCACTTAAATGAATTATTGGTAGCCATTCAGGTTTTTGTCCAATACCTATTTTCTTATGAATGGAACTTACAGTTCCTGTAAACAGACCATGTTTCTTTGGAGGCTAAAACCTGCTTATGTTGCCATCTGTGTATCCGCCATGAGCAAAATGCTTCGGCAAAATTCAATGCAAAATGGTCATCAGTTTATGATTTGATTATTAGGCAATGCTTTTCATTTATTTTCATACAATTTTGGCAAGATATTTTCTGTTTTAATTGTGTATAATAGCAAAAGTCTTGGTGAATGGGAAAAAAAAACTGTGCATCTTACTATCGGTAATATTTGTGATCAATAATAAATTATGTTCCCTTGAGTGGACTTGGGAAATTTCAGTTGCTGTTGTGTTTCCTTTATCTTTTGTGTTAACTGGTGGAATGTGAACATGACTGGTTAAGCCAGTATTTATTACCGATCCCTAGTTGCCCTTGAGAATGTAGCAATATGCTACCTTCTTAAACCGTAGGTGCAGAATATCAGATTTTAATAGAGTGAAAGGTTGAAGGAATGAATTGCTTATTATTTTTAAAGCAGCAGCCTCTGTCTCTGTAAAATCTACAAAGTAGAACATACTGCCAATGATTTGTCAGGAATTGTTACCCTTGTGCTAATTTCTGAAAATCTGCCTCTTTTAATGTATGTTACTTCTTTTAAAACAAATACTGTCTGAAATTTTTGGGTTGCAAATCCGAGTTATTTTACAGTAATAATAATGCGGACAAGAGAACTAATTCTGCTCGGTTCATTCTACCATTTCAACATTAGTTAACCTTTGAAGACAATTCACTAACAAACTGCAACAGGTTCTTCGGTTATACATTTTTGGAATGGCTTTTGAGAAATTTAGTTTGAAAATGAGAAAAGAAACACGCATGCAACGTGAGGCAGTTTTATTGTCATTGTTTAAAGTTAAATGGCATATCAATGACTTTTAGTTGTCCAGTTTTATTTTAATTTTATGGTTTGCAAATTTAAAGCCATCTCTCAATCAGAGAATAAAGGCTGGTGACTGGTTCCATCCAGTATGCGATAGTAGAATAACATTGTAGTAAAAAGCCAGCCCAGAGCCCAAGTGGGCAGTTTGAAACGAAGTAATTTTCTATAACATCTAAGCAAGATTAATTTCATGGATTTCTGAGATGTGCATTTGAACTAGATTAGTATGACTTTGATTTTTCAATGCCACTTTTTGGTATAATAGTTCAAATTTATGAACAAATTTTGTTCAATTGTTGATATAGCAAATCTATTTTTTGTGCTGTGCTATTATTGTTCACTGAAAAAGTTCTATTCTCCAAAATGTAAATAACTTAAAGTGACCAGATATGTGTGTGCTGGAGCTTCTGAAGGTCACAATGAAGCTAATGATGGCTCGGATCTTGTAGGAGTGAGTCATTTCTAGGCGCGCCAATAACTAGACATGTTTTAGGTATTTCAAGAAAAAGATTACCCACAAAGTTGCCAGAAGTATGAACTAATAACTGCATAGCCGGAACAATAGCCCATCTGAGAACTATGGCTGTTATCTCCACTTTAAAGAAAAGTGTGCCAGACAAGTTCAATGTTGTGACAGTACACGGAAGGCGCAACTCTTATGGATGCTAAGACAGTACAGCATTAATGGGCTGCACAAGAAATATCTTCAGAAGTGAAGAACACCCTCCTTGCTCTTGATACCAGCAAAGTCTTTTATTTGAAGCAATGTATGCAAGAACTAGCTGATGCCATTGATTCAGTCAGGGACATTTATTAGAGGTAGATCTTCAGCTAAATTAAGGGGATTATTCCTTTGGGATCCAAACCTCCACCAACAAAAGCAACAGTGCTGTACATATGCCATCTGCTGCAACATTTTGAATAGTGTCCAGCTCTTAATAAAAACTGAAAGAACTGTGGATGCTGTATATCAGGAACAAAAACAGAAGTTGCTAGATAAGCTCAGCAGGTGTGGCAGCATCTGTGAAGAAAAAAATCAGAGTTAACGCTTTGGGTCCGGTGACCCTTCCTCAGAACAGTATTGCTTATTGGGGTTTTCCCACATTTTTAGACTTTTTGTTTCCTGCCCTCTGTAGAGAAAATGGAAGCTTTCTACCTCGTTGTGAGCAAAGTAGTTCATTTCCTGCCTGTGCATTAGGCTATCAAAATGTGTGCCCTTTTCCATGAATTCATCTGGTGCCTGCAGTCTTGATGAATTCCTCCCAGCAGAACTGTGATTTAAATTATGATTTTCCCACTGTTATTGCAGTCTCAAATTCTCCTATCTTCTGTTAGATTCTGTCTAGTTTAATTTGTAAATTGTTAATATTGTCATCTTAAGTCTGCCTTATGACCTTCACAATGCTGAAACCTCAATATGTAGTACTTCTATGGCCCTTGACTTCCCTATTGCAGCTATATTTCATGTTTATTTGCTTATGGCAACAACATTAATGGTGAACTGGAGCTACTTTGTTTACTTCCTCTCTCGGCCTTTTTTAGGTGCCACTTAAATTAGAGTTTGGCCCAGCAGGGAATCTTAACTGTGCCCATGGAGCTCTGAGATGTTCGTCTCCTGGCCGAACCTCTAACTAGGGATCCTCTTTCAGATTCTCATTTCCTGTATAGTCTTTGAACTCATTTCACTGCAGCTTCTGCGCTCCTTTCCAGCATTATGACACTGAAACAGACAGCCACACCAAAATCTTTTGCCTGTATTTTCAACACAGTTTAAAAAGTCAAACACTCAGTGATCCTCAAAATTTCCCCACTGCTTCCCAATCAGATTTTTAAACTAATCAATACCAGACTTTGGTGTCTGGTATTGGTTATTGACAAACTTACAGCTTAACCAACAGAATTGACAATTTATTAATAATTCAGTGGGTTCAGCAGAGAAAAGTTGAGCAACAAGGTAGTCTATTCAATGTCTATGATTTAAACCGAATCTTCTTTGATTCTAGCCCCCACTCCCTCTCAAACGGACACAGTTAGGCTTTTGAAAAAAGAGATGGAACTGGCCAATTCAGATGAGCAGAGTCTACGATCTGTAACATCACAGGCACACAGCATTATATCTTGCCTTGGTTTCTGACAACACCATTCAATTCAAACAGCATCCAGTAGGCATCGAGAAATAGAATGTAGACTCCCTACAGTGTGGAATCAGGCCGTTCGGCACATCGAGTCCACACCAACCCTCTGAACAGCATACCACCTCGACCCATGCCTTCTACCCTATCCCTGTAACCCTGCATTTCCCATGGCTAATCCACCTAACCTGCATGTCCCTGGACACCATGAGCAAGTTAGCGTGGCCAATCCACCCAACCTGCACATCTTTGGACTGTGGGAGAAAACTGGAGCACCCGGAAGAAACCCACGTAGACACGGGGAAAGCATGCAAACTCCACA